CAAAGTCGTTCACATCATGAAACCGCAACTCCTCCTAGCCATCGTGCGCTGCCTCTAAGAATGACGCTGCTTTTATAATCCGGAACTTCACATTTATAAAGGGATAAATGAGAATCGTATGCCATGAAGTTGCCTTTACATACGCAGTTGAGTGACGAAGCGTTACAATATAATAGTAGTTTACAAAAGAATCCATTTCGTAGGAAAAGCATTGACTTTTTCAGCAGTGTACATTTGGACGACGACGATCCAAGCTTCAAAGTCTCAGTGTAGAATCCAGTCCAGTGTTTTCTTCAGTCAGTGACTCCTGTTGCAACAATGCGGCGCGATTACCCATCTAATTCTTTATGTGAGCTAACCCGGGTTAGCTAACCCTTTTGTGGTAATAGACCAATTAGAAAAATTCGCCCTAAGTGCAACAGGCGTACGCATATCATGAATACGGTTTCGATCACTCAGGTACTTCCTATAGTCTGTGTCATCCTCTTTCTTTTTCGTCATTTTCCTTTCTTTTTTTCCTTTACTCTTTCATTTCCTTTCATTCATTTTTTCTTTGTGCTTCTGATGGTGCATGAGCTGTTCTTGTCATTATAGATGCTATATTTTTTCATATGATTTTTTCTTGAATGTCGCTCGTGTACGTTTTAGATGATGTTGTGCTCAATTTGCCTTGTTAAATCTGGTTTTATCTAATTATTTATTGTTTTATAATACAAATAATACATCTGTAATTTAACTGCATGAATTTTCACGAGTGAATTTGCTCACTGATAAGACATTTTTTATTTGATTTTGTCGTCCCGCTAATGTTTATTGCTATAGAATCGCTGAGCGGGCCCCAAATTATTAATGCGTTGTTCTGTTATATCAATAAATGTTCTACTGTATTAGCAGGATACATTACAGAAATTGATAGATACCGTACTGCCCTGGCGGTGAACAACGCAGGAAACTTACTTAAAGGCAGGGGCCACGCTGGACGAAAGGAACGAAAAAATAGGGATCCTCCTACCAGCAGATCAATTAACACCCATTAGTCCATTTTGAACCCAATTACCCCGTTCTTGCTTCGAGAAATTCGCTTTTACGGGCTGATTGTAGGATGAATTGTGAGGTCATTGCGATGAAAGTAGGAATGGTAAATGGTGCGGCGGTGGAGAAAGAACCTAAGGAACCCAGAGTGGACTCTTAAAACTCTGAAATCCGTGAAATGGAACCATTGTTACCCATTGTTTGCGCGCTGGACGAGTCTGTGAGAATGATGACGTCATCAAAATAAACGCGCTGTTCTGCTAGTCTGCTTCGAGGGCCTGAACAAGATCAACTCGATCAATCCGAGACGGATGAAGAGACGGTGTCCAGAGGGATAGGTGAAGCCTTGTTACTGTCCCTGCGTTTCATTCCCTCTGTTTGTTCCCGTGTTTCGATTTCCGCTTTTTTTGATTCCTGTGGCCTGGTAAATCGCCTTAGTATTTCGGTATTCCTACGTAGCATATTTTTCAACTGGTTTAATACCACTTGTCCTGCACATTAATCCAACGTTGAGCTGCGCAGCACAATCGCAAGTGTTGTTCACTGAGCATGAGGTTGTATTCTACGTGAATGCATTATGTTATCGATTCATAGAAGAGAAAACAAAAAGCGAAATAGATATGTTGTGATAACATTGATGTATGAAACAGCGATATGCTGTTAAACTGTTCTACACGACTGCAGCCGGTGGGGAAATACTAGGCCTTCCAAGAGATATAATGAAAGCAGAGATGCTGAGATAGTGCGCATGTGTGAGAGCTCCCAGACAGTACTACAAAACGCTGAATTGCCTAGCCTCACGGTTGACAGAAATCCGGTGACCGTGGGGGAACAATGAACGCAACCAGAAATCTGGCCGTGGGCCAATTACAGTGAGGATTTCTCGATGTAGGGTTGTATTCGCCCTATGAGGAAACAATCGCGTTCAGGGCTTTGGGAGGGTCGTAGATATGAGCCTCTTTCAGTAGTCATCCCCTCAATCGGCGGCAATTTAGGAGTAACTGGGCGGAATGGGTTCAGCAACACTGTTCAAGGGATCGTCTACGAAAATATGTGCTTTTTCGTTCCTCACGTAAAAATGATATTTGCGACCGATAAAGGTGGTATACAGAGTTTCATGTATGAAAGGTAAATTTTTGAAAAGAAACAAACATTCGAAAACCACACTTTGGGGACGGATGGGCGGAGCCAACGGCTCTGATGGAAAGAAGGACGTACCTGTCGGATTATAGATCGTGTCGTCTACCAAAGGGATTGTACTGATGGTGGGGAAATGGAGTCATACCGAACCCTCCATTCGGCACTGACTGGGAAAACTAGTATTCCGGGAATACTTTAAATATATAGAACTATAGAACTATAACTGTTTGTATATTGTTACTTTACAATGCAAATCCACATTCAAAGGTACGCATTTTTCTGTACAAAGTTGTCCTCTTTTTTTTTTTTTTTTGAGCATTTTTTCTGCCCCATTGTTGTAAACTGTGCCCTTCAGGCAAAGCTCAGCGATAACAGCAAGCAGTTGAAACGAGTTTTTTTTTCATTTTTTTCTCTGTTTTTTTTTTCTTTTTGCGGTTCACAATGATCACTGCGATCAATTCCTCTCCGTTGAAATAATAAAATTAGCTTTTAATGAATAAGCTGCTTGTGACGTTTTGAGGCAAAGTGCTCTTTCAGAATGCTGACCTGGATGCACTGAATAAAATGAATTTTCTTCTGCGGAAATTTAGCTACCCTTTCACGGAATATTTTTAAGGGCACAATCGCGAGAAGATTATTCAAACAATCTCTCGCAAAAATGGGGCCTCAGTGGTGGAAAATAGAGCCACTATTATTTGAAACGTGGAGAAGGGAGATCCAGACTTGAATGAGTGCCCGCCCACTGTTGCTGTACCCTGGGTCTAGCGCCCGACTCTGCTCTCTCGCCTTCTGTCAGTCGCCTTGGCGCCCTTTCTGGTCTCCTAGACTCTCTTATCCACCCAGAGCAACAAAAACATTACTCAAAGCGGTTTTTCTGTGGCTCTTCTAATTTCATATATTCTCTTACATTTGCTCGCACTGGGAGCTGAAATACTTCTTGATTCTTTAGCTCAGTTAGCAAAATGGCATCAAACAAATCGGATTGCCACTTGCGCGATATTGTAGTAATTGCTTTGGAAGGAAATTTTCTCTTGAGATATTAATAGTGTCACAGTTTCATTTTATAATGGACATCTCAAAAATCTCACTGAATGTGAAAATTCAGAGGGTCAAGTGGTCAGGTTTAGTCAAAGAGAAACATAAATCATCAAGAAATTAGAGAGCGAAGAGGAGGAACTGGGTCATGTTGGGATCATCAAGCCACTTTAAAGCAGTCGGCAAGTCATGCCTGTCAAGTTCTATGCAACAGACCGTTGATCTCTCAGTCATTAGATGAGTCATCGTCACCACTGGCCAAAGAGCAGCGCCAGGGAATGCGGATAGAGACGGCTGAAGACGCCAAGAAGCCTGGGACAGTGAGGGCTGAGGAAGAGAAAAGAAAAGACCACTTTTGGCTCACATCAGCAACTGTCTGTGGCCGGACTGTCGCGAGCCCTGATGCAACATCCATTATCAGAAAAATGAAGTACCCGCATTGCCTGAGGCCTAGTAGTGGCTGAGGATGTCTGAAACATGCATCTGCCTACCTATCTTTTCATTGGTATACATTGCGGTTAGGCTTATAGCGATAGGCTCTCGTGGATAGAAATGCATATGGTGAAGACATGCAAAATCTCTACAAAAGCGATACCACTTGTAGGTCATCGTTAATTTGCCATGCGACAAGTCGATGACGAAACCGCGCAACGAGAAGCATTGCACTGGGGCCGTCAGGAGGTTAACGCCAGGTGTGTGTAAACCCTCCAAGCAGGGTGAATAACGGTCGAGGATTTCCTCGACCATAGCTCTCTACCATGTGAGAGTAGTGCCGAGTGAACATCCGCGCGGAGAGCACAGACGGCACGCCCATGGCGAGTGTGAATGTCCGCGCGAGAGATCGTGTCTGATCGGGCAGAGAATCCTCGACGTGCCGTTGAGGAATCCTCAAGCGATATTCACCCTGCGCCCTTTCTCTCCCTGCCATCGAAATCTTTATACAGCACAGACGCTCCGTACAATGGACAGGTTCTATAACGTCCATTTCATCCTCGTGGAGTGCGCAGAAAAACGACAGGGCTGATCGAATACAAATCGATGGCACGTTACATCGCACGCCAACCAGTCACGCTTGCGGTTACTCATCGGACTGCGTAACCTAACTCTGATCATGTACTCGCGTTTGAAGGCAGTGCTCAGAGAGACTGCGACGTAACATCAGCGGAAGCGATAAACATTTCCATATTGCTAGCAAAACTTAGGGCCGAGTCCGATTAGAACTCATTATGTGACAAATCATGGACCGCATCACTTTTTTTTTCATGTACACGCAAACACGTCAGCGGCATTGCCTGTGCGATTCGTGCTCATAGATCTTGCATGGCTGGCTCTCTCAGCTCCTTAAACCAGAGCTTCTGATCGACCAAAATAACCTCGATGATAGCGTGTGCTTCATGCGTCTGCCAAAGTGGCAGGTTTAGAGTTCGTTATCTACAACAGTCTTCTGAAGGGCTTTTAGCATGTTAGACTGCGAGCAGCTGCATCATCTAGGTGTTGAGCAGATGTCAGACATTACGAATGCGATTCGCTAGCGTTCGCGGTCGCGTTGCGGTAAACGCCAATCGCAGCGACTCACTGGCCGCGTCGCGACCGTGGGCGCTAGGGAACCGCTCGCTTCGCAAAGTCTGACAACGACCTTATTTTTTCATTCCTTTGCCGCGTCATAGATCGTTTTCTATAAAAACGAATTTTGATAAGAACTTTTGACTCGCAATCATGTAAAGATCATGAAAGTCCAGCTACCACGCCTCTATTTCAACATGTTCCAGAAGATGGGACTGATGTAAACGAAATGAATAAAATAAATTTTCCTCGAAAAATTTTGATGTCGCATTTCAGGCCATGGGGTGGATGTCAGACTCGACTATTGCGCAATCACGACAGTGCGCCCAACGCGACCATATGGATCAATAACATCGTGCTCCCCTCAGCGCTTGTACAGCGAACGGCCACAACGCTGTCGCGATTGCGCAATCGCCGAGTCTGACATCATCTAATCATTGCTGAATCTTCTGTTCTCCTCCATGCGTGATGATGAGCAAGCGACCAAATATTTCCGAAACTTACCACACTAGCGGACGAGGCACCAATTATTTTTTCTGCTATAACACAACAGATTTAGAGAAAGTTTTATTCAGAAAAAAATCTGCAAAAATTTTAAAACAGCGTACACGTCTTATTCTAGCACTTGGAGAAGCGGTAATTAGCTTGGGAAGCGCATACAAGATGGTCCAACACGCGTAGTTCTAAACGACCAAAATAGAGAGGAATATCCAGTCCACATGAATTGCGATCGAGATGTGAGAACAAAGACAAGAAAAAAGATTTGCCCTCAGCATATGCGCGATCCTCGGCTCGAGACGGAGATCGATTGCCTCTACCCCTCTATTTTTATGAAACCTTAACGGAATCCACGATAAATAACTGATATCTCGTCTCGTTCATTGCCACCAGTTGGGAGGGGACGATGCTCCGCTCTAACACCAGCTTCCGAAACTCGCACCATACCTTAAATATATTATATCTCGCCCCCGCCCGACAACGTTCACACAACCGACATAACAATAAAGAACTATGATGAGATCGTAAGGCCTAGAATAAAGTTCAGTCATGGAAAATGGAGAGAACAGAAGGTGCGGAATCATCTTGGGATACTCACCCGGTACTCAAGTGCGCGTGTCGCGTCGCCGTTCAGAACAAGCAACTTGTGATGAGTCGCATAGGGACCCGCCCCGCAGCTTCTTATGGAACCCGCGTCCACATATGCCAAATCGATCACATATTGTTTCCATAAGAGTGAGATGTAGAATGGTGAGGCTTTCCTATAAACAAGCAATTCGAAATCAAGACAGGCAATATTCACTAATACATGCACGTGCCTAATTCATTTGCAACCGCGTGCGGTGAGCTGCAAATTTGGGCTGCGCGCGGCCCGACAACACCCGCCGAGTATGAGCGCTGATTTGTCGCCATTTTTGATGCTCCAGATTGTCCAGTGTTATATTTTTACTTGACAGCAGATCGATGGCCCACTCGCCAAGGAACACTGTCGCTAGCACTACTGCGCCACGCTTGCCAGGGACGGGATCAAACCGAACGCCCTCACAGGGCTGGGATTTGATGGTCCGGGGGTACAGCATTGCCTCGTCACGGAGGATGGCTCAAGAGATAGGCAGTGCAGGAAATCCAACACCTGATAATCTTGCAGCAATGACACAAAAAGAAAGGCGGCCAAGAAAAGAGCAGGAAACGGCACGCCTCGATGGACTGTCGCCAACCAGTCATACTCCACTTTTGCCAAGTGTCGTGTTGACCTGAAATTACGAAAAAATAAAGGCGAATCATTCTAGTAAAGCACGTGACTTCCACTGCTGCCAAATGCTAAACTTCGAAAGCGTACTTTCTTTCGCGCTCTCTTTGAGAATCTGCAGAATCAAAATCGGAATTTCGAGCGCTCCGCCAAATTTCTCTTATTTGATGACTTTTTTCTTACCACTATATTATGATTATTATAGATTATTTCCGGAAGCGTCCATGCTCAGTATATTTGCAATAGTTCCTTCTGGAGCATGCAATAACAACGTTGTACAAAACCAGTGATAAGAGAAGAACCATCTAGTCCGCCCCCTTGAAGCAACAGTCCCAGCAGGGTGGGCGTGGTCGGAAACGGCTGCAATCCCCTCGGCCGATTCCCACTTCGGAGCTGTTCAGCCCCTAGTCAAGAACGTAAGAAGTGTGACTGAACAAAAACTCACCTTGGAAAGCCGCTAGGGAGGGAGCTGAAGTGGGCGTGGTCGGAATCGGCCGAGGGGATTGCAGTCGTTTCCGACCACGCCCACCCTGCTGGGACTGTTGCTTTAATGAACGGATGCTCTCAATATGTTCTTGGTTCTAAGAGTAGTGCTTGTTTATGAGCAAAACACTCCATTCCAGGTGAGAATCTCAAACAATCCGCATTTAAGCCATTAGGGCCTTTTCTACTTGTTTTGAGTCGTGAAGTTCACCCTATAGCCAAGCGGCTCATTCGTAAATGGATTGGTTCAATAATATTATCGCGGCATGTGCCTTTAAGCACTGAACGAGCCGAAAGATTTAGTAACTGCTGTGATTACAGAAAGTCATAATTATATGTAGAAGGTAAGTTCACGCACCTCTCATCGAAGCTCATATCGCTGAACGAGTGAAGGCGCTTCCGCGGTCGCCTGAAAAAAGCCTTAATAATGCTCAAAAGCATCGGAAAACATCCCACTAACATTTTCTTGTTTCAGATTTAAAAAAAACAAAAAGAATGACTGCTTCAAAATCAATTCATTCCCGGCGTTTCTAAAAGGGTGAGTCATATGACAGGAAACGTTTAACCACTACGACCACATGCGAACCTCTTGATCATGTACCCCGCCCACCGACCTTCATTTAAAAGACGTACTACCTGGCACACTTCCCCCTCAGAGAAAAAAATCTCCAAAAGTAAGTTGAATGAGGGGGAGGAAGGGGGCGAGAGAGGATTATTTATGTAAATATAACACCTAAATAGCAAATTTTCACGCTATCTGCACGCTGGTTGGAGAGTGGGGCGGTTGATGACGTCATAAACGTTATTGGGGAACCAGAGCCCTCAGCGTTTCTGTGAGACACCCTTCCTCCAATCACGCTCAATGACGTCACAAAAACTGCTCCGCCCTTCAGCCATCATGTTCATAGCTTTAAGTCGATCTTTATGTATGTGAAGCTTTCCCAATAAAAAATACAATAGCATTTAATGCCATAATTACCACTCACTGTGATGACGTCTCGCTGCATGGTGCATTTGAAAACGGTGCGTTGGCAGCAGAATCATCTGAATAAAAAAATTGACGTTAAAAAATCTATAACTGAATTTTAAAATTTAACTCTCATTTTGCATACACTTGAAAACCACTGTTAGTCTTTGCGAAAAGTTTCCTTTTTCTGGGTAGCATGCGAAAAAATTCGGAACAGAGCTGGGCCCAGAGCACATAAAG